AAGAGGCATTGAGCTGGGCCTTGCAAGTGAGCAGGCGTTTGTCAGGAGAGTAGGGTGAAGGCAAAAGGCGGTGGCAGCAGGGGGATTCCAGGCAAGGGGGATAGCATCTGCAAAGCCAAGGAGGTGTTGGGGAGTATGTCCCCCTCAGTGCAGGCAGGGGCTAGGTGAGCTGGGAGAAGAGGGAAAGGTGAGGGTGGGAAGAGGCAGTGAGCAGAGAGACTGTGAAAGTCCAGTTCAGTTGGGAAGCAGGGAGGGGTGAGCCTTTCCATCGCCTCCCAGAGCCGTCCTGCCAGGGGCAGGTTACCAGCTTCAGGCCCTTGTCCTCACTCCCCGCCCCCGCCCCACCTCCCCACTGGCTGGTGGGGGCCTTGGGCAAGGGGATCGGGTCAGGACGGGAACATGTTCCTTCTCTGTTCCCCCAGGGGCCCTATGGCTTCCACTATCACTCAGTTCATACCCTTGGCTCTCTGCCTTACTCCCTCAGGGCCTGCCTGGACGCTTCTCCTTTCCCCTCACCCGTGTGTGTGTGTGTGTGTGTGTGTGTGTGTGTGTTGTTGTTGTTGTTGTGTGAGTTCTGAAGGTCGTGTGGTCACCCAGTCTCCGTCTTTGTCTGTCTAAAAGCTGGTATGGCACAGCGTGCCTGTGTTTATGAACACATTCCTCCTGCCCGAGGGTTCCCAGCCCCAGGGTCAAGTCTCCCCGGGCCTTTCAAGGCTGTAAGAGGTGATTCTAGGGGCTACAGCAATAGAGACCCAGCCAGAGGGAGCAGGAGAGCTCCAGCCCACAATTCCAGGGGCCCCACGGCCAGCCACTTCCAGAGGAACACATGGCCTAAGTGAAAACAGAGAGCCCGCAGCACAGCCACAGCGCCTGACGTGGCTGAATTCCCCTGCTGCCTCGCTCAGCGCCCAGCACCAGCCCGACACCACCGTAGAGGAACTCGGGCGCTGCATGCATTTCAGAAAGGGCCCCTTCGCCACAGTTAGAGCACAAATAAATGGGTCCTCTGGGGCTGGGATTCCCTTTGCAGTCCCCTTCCCCACTGTGGAGGCCTCTTTCCTCCCCACACCTTCAACCCTGCAATTCCTCATCTGAAGCAGAAACAAGGTTCCACCCAGGCCATGGGGCCTGGCCGTGCGGGTCAACCCTGGGTCCTGGTGGAGGACCCAAAGTCTCCCTGCTGAGGACCAACATCCGGTGGCCCCAGCTGGGGTGACATCACACAAGGGGCTCACACAAGGCTTCTGTCTTCCAGGAAGGAGATGGGAACAGAGATCTCCCTGCAAAGGCTGGAAAAGAAATCACGTCCCAGAATTGTTGGCAGAAGGTTAATTGGATGCATTTGTAAGCTTATTCCTGGGACAGGCGTGTTAATAGCACTAAAACATCTGAAAACTTCCAGAGCCACACGGAGGAGTTAATAGGCCTGGAGAGTCCAAGGTCACATTGAGGCACCTCCCGGGAGTGGAAAGAGCAGTGGACCAGGAGTCTGACAGCCTGAACCCTTGACTCCTCACCACAGTTCGCTGTGGTCCCCAGGCAAGCCCCAGCCTCTCTAGACCTGGAAAACATTAGTGTGGAAGGCAGGTCGCCTGGGTCACCCGACGGAAGTCTCACTGTGGTCTTATATGATGATGTTATCATTATTTTTGTTTTGTGGAAGAGGAAACTGAGATTCCTCAAATGAGGTGGAATTTGCCACTGCTGGTGCTGGGGTCAGTACTGGAGCCTGACTGCAGGCCAAGGGCTGAAATCACAGGGCTGTCCCAAAGGCCAGCCAGGGAGACGTTCCCTTGGTGTCCACTGGGAGGCGCCCTAGACTGCTTCTCCTAGTTGGCACCAGCACCTGCATCCCTCAGCCAGAGTGGTCTCCCCTGGGTGATCTCTGGGTAAGGTGGGACTGGGGGCTGCCAGCTCCTGGGGCAAGGTCAGGAGGCTTCCTGGTCCTCCCTCCTCATTCTAGCCACCCCATGAAGGAGCCTCCTGCCCTCACTTTCCAAGGGCAAGGGAGGGAAGAGTGAGGTTTCAAACCCATGAGGACGTGGGGCCCACTGGTTCCCTTCCTCGGGCCCTTGGGGAGCCCATGTATCAGATTGGAGTCAGCTACAAATGTCAGAGGCTCAGAGAGGGTTAGTCACTTGCCCAAGGTCACGTAGTCAGGTCCACCTGATTCTGAACAACTAAACTTTGTCCTGATTTAGGTGAGGCTCAGGGCAGATGTGATGGAATTCCGCCGGTCACATGGCCCACAGCAGGCAAGAAGGTGGTGGTCAGCTGGGCCTGCAAGTCCCACTGGTGGCAAAAGGGCTGAGTCTTGTAGAGGGGGTTCCTACAGTTGCTTGAGGGTCCACGGCTGGGTGCAGGTAGTCAGGACCGGGTGTTGGGGCTCATGAAAGGGCAGGAGGAGGCATTCAGCCAGCGGATGTCCTTGGCATCAGGGTCGGTGTCTGTATGTGAAAGTGGGCGTGTAAGTGGGGGATGGGGTGGAGACAGAAGGCTGTGGCTCAGGCCCAAGACCCCAGGTCATGCTCGCTCAGAATTCAAGTTTGTCAGCTTGTTAGAAGAATGAGGACGGTGACAGCCGGGGATGTGGGGAGGAGAGAGGCCTTTGGAGATGGGAGTTGGGGAGGCTGTGATTGGGGGATGTCGAGCAATGGCTTGAGGAGGTCGAAGGATTCAGCCTCCCGAGTGTTCCGAGTTGGTCTGGAGCTGACGGACCAGCTGGGCTGAGGGAGGGGAGGTGACAATGACATTGAGTATGGGGACACAGGGCTCTTCTCGCCCTGCTGGGCTTTCTGGAGGGTGGAGGACAACAGGAGGGAAGCCAAGTGTCCCGGGAGAGAGCTTTGCAAAGTTACAGCCGGCTCCTGCCCTCTCTACCCAACTCTTGCAACAGGGACCCTCCCCTAGAGCAAGCCTGACCCTACTCAGACCCCTACCAACATAGAGACCACCTAACCCAACCCGTTACTCAGGTCACCTCACCACAGCAGAGGCAGGAGCAGGCCCAGGGTTGGAGACAAGCCCATCCCCAGGCCCCAGGGCTCACAGCAAAGCCAAGGAGACAAGCAGCCACCAGGTACACCAGATTAAGGCTGTCCAGGTAGGGGACTCCATCTCTCAGTAGACAGATGTAGCCAGGGAGACTATAGGGCTAGAGGAGCCGTCCTGGAAAATCCCAGCCCTTCCCTAGCAGGTCACAGAACCGGCTCTCCCAGCTGAGGCCCTTCCCTCCCAGCAACGTGTCCAGGGGCACCTGACTTGAACTATAAATAGAGGATGACGGAAGGCTCCGGAAGCCCAAGGGAGGGCAGGAGAAAGGGATTCTGATTCTCCCCCAGCAAGGCCCTGCAAGGTTGCACTGACAGAGCAATGCCTCAGCACTGGGTCTTCGAGGTTGGATAGGACTGCCCCTGGCATCGGAGGTCCGGGAGGGCCATTCAGGCAGAGGGAACAGTCTGGGGAGGCAAGGAATGGAGCAGGCAGGTGGCTCCAAGAGGCTGGACGCAGGCTGCACAGGGCTGTGGCAGTTCCTGAGACCCAGTGGTCAAGGGCTCTGAATGTCAGGCTAAGGGCTTTGTTCTGGAGGCCTGAATCTTGCTCTTAGAGTAAGAGGAGTTAAGAGAAACTCAACTTAAGTTGAGGAGTTAAGAGTAACACACAAGGCCGGGCACAGTGACTCATGGCTATAATCCCAGCACTTTGGGAGGTTGAAGCAGGTGGTCACTTGAGGTCAGGAGTTTGAGACCAGCCTGGCCAACATGGTGAAACCCTGTCTCTACTAAAAATAGAAAAATTAGATGGGCACGGTGGCGCGCACCTGTAATCCCAGCTACTCAGGAGGCTGAGGCAAGAGAATTGCTTGAACCTGGGAGGCAGAGGTTGCAGTGAGCTGAGATTGTACCACTGCACTCTAGCCTGGGCAACAGAACAAGACCCCATCTAAAAAAAAAAAAAGTAAGCACACAAGAACTGTAACATACAAGAATAAGCCCACCTGACAGGTACCAGAAAAGTAACATGGCCATCTTCCCACGCTGGAATGGAGAAAATACCCAAAGGTGTGCCAGAGACTGCTAACTATTCCCCCAACATCTGTTCTCTGTCTTCTTGCCATGGAACCCCGGTTTTGCTGGCAAACAACCCCCCTGAAATATACACCCCCTATATTTCCCAGCCCTCCCTTTATAGGCCAGTATGGGCCATGTGTGTCAAGTTATAAGTCAGGCCCATTCAAGGACCCCAGGAGGTTTGCACCCTGTTACGCGTCATTCTCCTTTTCTGCGCTGAAAAGGAATATGCATGTGATTGGCTCGAGAGAAGCGCCTATCTTGGATCATGAGGTAGAAGTCCCCCATGTTAATGGGATGACCAACGCCATCAGAAGAATTGATCTGAGTTTCTGATGTTGTGGAGCGTGGGGCCAACCACCCAAAGCCCCTGGACCCGAACCTCCCCCAAAAATATTGTTTAGCTCCAAGAGAAAACATAACAATAAAACTTCTATATTCATAGTTTTACCAACATATTTCTTAGTTTCCCCTCCAGATTGACATAACCTAAGCAACCATACAGGCTAAGGAATTAACCCTCCCGAGAAGCCTCTATACCCCCTGAAATAAAATCACAAACTAGACAAAAAAAAAAAAAAAAACGAAAACCCCCCGGGCATTTAATAGCATCTTTTTTTTTTTTTTTTTTTTTTTTTGAGATGGAGTCTCCGCCCTCCTGTGCCCCAGCGCTGGAGTACAGTGCAATGATCTCCGGCTCCACCCCCTCCACTCCGCCTCCCCGGGTTCAAGTGATTCTCTGGCTCAGCCTCCCGAGTTAGCTGGACTCAGCACCCACCACCATGCCTGGCTAATTTTTTTTATTTTTAGTAGAGATGGGATTTCACTGTGTAAGCCAGGCTGGTCTCAATTTCCTGACCTTGTGATCCGCCCTCCTCAGCCTCCCAAAGTGCTAGGATTACAGGCGTGAGCCACCGCACCCAGCCTTACCTCTTAAATAGTGAGAGGTATGCTCTGATTACATTCCAGATATCGTCTCTCATGAACTCTCTGCAGAACCTTCCTTCCAGGTGTAGGGATGGAAAAGGTGTGATACCTCTTCTCACCCATCATAAGGGTCACGGCCAACACTCCTATACCAAAAGACAGAGAGAAGTTAACAAGAGAAGAGCATAACAAATGTATTTAATCAAAATTTTACATGACACGGGGGCCTTCGGAAATGAAGACCTAGGCCGGGCGTGGTGGTTCACGCCTATAATCCCAGCACTGTGGGAGGCCGAGGTAGGTGGATCACTTGAGGTCGGGAGTTCAAGATCAGCCTGGCCAACATGGTGAAACTGTGTCTCTACTAAAAACACAAAAAATTACACAGGCATGGTGGTACGCACTTCTAGTTCCACCTACCCGAGAGGCTTGAGACATTAGAATTGCTTGAACTCGGGAGATGGAGGTTGCAGTGAGCTGAGATCATGCTATCGCACTTCAGCCTGGGCAATAGAGCAAGACTGTGTCTCAAAACAAACAAACCAAAAGAAAAAAAAAGAAAAGAAATGAATACCCAGAGAAAACTGTACAGTACCTTTTTATGCAAAGGTTCAATGTAGAATGGACAGTCATACAGGAATGTGATTGGACCAGCCAGGCACGGGCTCTATACCTATAATCCCAGCACTTTGAGAGGTCAAGGTGGGTGGATTACTTGAGATCAGGAGTTCGAGATCAGCCTGGCCAACATGGTCAAACCCTGTCTCTACTAAAAATACAAAAATTGTCTGTACTTGGTGGCGGGCACCTGTAATCCTAGCTATTTTAGAGGCTGAGGCACAAAAATCACTTGAACCCAGGAGTTGGAGGTTGCAGTCAGCTGAGATCTCACCACTGCACTCCAGCCTGGGCAACAGAGTGAGATTCCATCTAAAAAAAACACATGATTGAACAAAAGAGTATGACTTAAGGGTAATAGGCCAAGGGAGGGAACTCAACGATGACTGTGTGTTCACATTCTTCTTGGCCTGTCTGCCATATTCCTTATTTCTAGTATGGGGCAGGACTCCCCTGGAGTGAGGGTCTTATGGCCTACTATCAGACCAAGTAGGCTCAGAGAATTTCCTTATGACCAGCTCCTACACAGAAAGGCAGGGGAAGGTTAGAGTAATAGTTCTACTTTCTTTTCCTCCTTTTTCTTCTCCTTCTCCTTTTTCTTCTCCTTCTCCTTTTTCTTCTCCTTCTCCTTCTCCTTCTTCTTCTTCTTCCTTCTTCTTTTCTTGAAACGGAATCTTGCTGTGTCACCCCGTCTGGAGTGAAATGGCACGATCTTGGCTCACTGCAAACTCCACCTCCTGGGTTCAAGCAATTCTCCTGCCTCAGCCTCCCGAGTAGCTGGGACTGCAGGTGTGCGCCACCATGCCTGGCTAATTTTTGTATTTTTAGTGGAGACCGAGCTTCACTATGTTGGCCAGGCTGGTCTCAAACTCCTAACCTCACGTCATCCATCCTCCTTGGCTTGCCAAACTGCTGGGATTACAGGCATGAGCCATCACACCCGGCCCCCAATATTTCTACTTTCTATGACCTCCCTTAGGGAAGAGGAATTCTCATTTCTATGGCTGCTTTGAGGGAGAAAAGGGGGACAGGTCAGAGAGAGAGATACTGCTTCTGAGGCTGCTTCTGAGACCTTCCAGTCTCCTTTAGCTCAAAGTACTCAGCAACCCACAGCACCATACTTTGGGATATCATTATCTGAGCCCCAATACGGGGAAGGAAGTTTCAGTAGGATGCTTGAAAATGAGCTGTCTTTGTTGCAGATGACATGCGACATCCTATGACAGCGTGATTCCCATGCCAGGCCCCCCATCCAGACAGGCCTGGTTTTCTGGACCCTGTGACTCAGGGCCCTGAGAGCCACGGGCTCACAGAGGTCCCAGAAACTTTATTTGACCCCTTTGGCATCCCTGGATGGCTCCTTTGTCTCCTTTTCCAAAACACATGGTTGTGTGGTCTTATCCCGGCCACAATAACTACATAAGAACAAGAAGCTGCCGTTCACTGAAGACGCTACCATGTGTCCCTATGAGGTCAGCACCCTAGGAGCGGCCTGGACATGTGCCCTCTCCCCCTGGCTGAGACGGAAACAGAGGGGATGTGGCTCTTAGCTAAGGATTTAATGGAGCCCTTTTGGGGAACAGCCTTCTCCATGTGGAACTGAGGGAGCAGCTGTTAGGGGCCCAGGCACCACTCTGCATGGTCATGCCACTTACTGGATCTGGGCCAGCAGTGTCGAGAACAGGAGGTGGCTGGGGCATGTTTCCCTCCACCTTATGGCTCAGGCTCTGCTGCTCTGTCTCTGAGTCTTCTGTTTGCCTTCAGGAGCGGCTTGTGGTGTTCCCAGGGTATGGGGGTCCTGCCTGTGGAGGGAGATCTGCAGGTGAGCTAGGAGGGGCCGCCCAGATCCCTGACACTGCAAAGGCCCAACCCACACCCTACTCCCCATGCTGGGGCTGGAATGTCTTGGTCATTCCTTCTTACCCTGGTTGCTAGTAAGGTCCCTCCTGGTCCTGCCCCATACCCAGTGGGACACACTTTCCAACACCCTATGGGGAGGGGACATTCACACGGGCAAGGCAGGAAAAGGTGGCAAGTTTGAGGTTAAGAGAGCGTGGGATGAATGAATGATCGGACCCAGAACCGCCTAGGTTTGATCTTGACTCCACCACCAGCTCTGGGAGCTGCCCAATAATTGGACCTCACTGAGCCTCAGTTTCCTCATTTGGATAACAAGAAAACTCATAATACCTTCCTCCTAGGGCTGACATGAGTATTAAACGAATTAACACGTGTCAAAGTTTAGGATGGTGCTGGCACATAAAACCTGCTCAAAGAGGAATAGCTGTTAGTATTAGTATCAGTGTTAGGATTATTGTTAAAGTATTATTATTATTATTATTTTGAGACAGAGTCCTACTCTGTTGCCCAGGCTGGAGTGCAGTGGCGCGTTCTCAGCTCACTGCAGCCTGTGCCTCCGGGGTAGCTGGGATTACAGGTGCCCACCACCACATCTGGCTAATTTTTTTGTATTTTCAGTAGAGATAGGGTTTCACCATGTTGGCCAGGCTGGTCTTGAACTCCTAACCTCAGGTGATCTGCCTGCCTCGGTCTCCCAAAGTGCAGGGATTACAGGCATGAGCCACTGTGCCTGGATTGTTACAGTATTTCAAGAGATAAACTCAAACTCAGTGAGCCCCTTAAGGGAAGAGAACTAGTTAGGAATGAACTTCTGAAATGCCACCGCAGACATGCTCTCTCTAGCACACACCTTGAAGTGTTACTCCGCACCACTGTAAAGTTATGTAGTCACTCCAGCCCATCGGGAAGAGGGTCTCATCCTGTTTAGGGAGGTGGAGGAGTGTAGTGGTTTTAAGTGCAGACTTTGGGGCCAGACTGCCTGAGTCTGAATCTGAGCTCTGCACTGCTGGAAGTTTCCTTAACTCTCTGTTTCTTGGTTTCCTCACTTGAGGCATGGGAAGACGCAAGCACCTATCTGCGAGGTTTAAGTGAGATCATGTGTGTCTGGTGAGCCCTGGTGATGGCCTGGCATTGGTGGCACTGTGGACTAGGGGCTGGGTGCAGGAGGGTCGGGGCTGCCACAGGCCACCCCCACTGGTGTCCCTAAGGGGTTGTGCCCAGGAGCTCCAGTGTGACCAAGAGGGGGAGGGTGGCAAAGTCACACCATAACTCCCTCATAGGCTCCTCTGTCCGAAGAGCCCTCAATGCAGAGGGGCCCGAGTGGCTGCCTCAGGTGGCCAGACAGGTTCAGGCTCTGTCCGGCTCCCTCCAAGCTGGAGGCTGCTGACTGTGCAGAGCACAGGGTGGGGCACACTGGTCCCCACTCGGTCATCTCATTCAAGCTTCCCTATACCTACCTCCAGGAGGCTGGCATTTACGGCCCCATTCTGCACACAAGGGACTAAGGCCCAGAGACCCAGACATGGGGGTATCAATTCCAGGCCTGACTGACCCTGGAGTGGCCTCATTCCTCACCAGGACATCCTTGGCTTCCCCACTCTGGGATGAAGCCACTGTCCTCCATCTCAGGTGCACAGTCAGTCATACATATTTCCCCTCCCTCCAGGTCTAACTTTCCACCCCAGCTCACTTTTCTGTTCCCACTTGCTGGTTCCCCGCTTTCTCTATGTATCTGAAAGTTCACCCCTGTAATCTCAGCTCTTTTGGAGGGGCCGAGCGCAATCACTTGAGGTCAGACGTCGAGACCAGTCCTGGCCAACATGGCGACAACCCTTCTCTCTACTCTGAAAATACAAAAACTTAGCTGGCGACATGGTGGTGCCACGCCAGGAATCCAGCTTCTTGGGGAGGCTGACAGCGTGGAGGATCGCTTGAAACCTGGAGGTGAGGCTGCAGTGAGCCAAGCTCATGCCACTGTACTCCAGCCTGGGCAACAGAGCGAGTACTCCATCTCAAAAAAAAAAAAAAGGGGTCAGTGATTTTTCATGCCTATGAACTCTGTCCATGGAACCTCAGAGACTCACAGAGGTAAAAAGGAAGCCTTCCCTTCTAGAACTTGTCTGGGAGCTGGGGAGGAGGTTATGGTCTGGAGCAGACATTCTGTAGCCAGGGAGGTTGGAGAGATCTGCCCTGGAGACAGCCAGGAGGGCTTCCTGGAGATGGTGGACCTTGAGACAGGCTTGGAAGAGATGGGGCCTTTTGGCCAAAACAATTCATGAAAGGCAACGAGTGCCTGCAGACCTGGGATCAGATCTCAGCCTTGCTGCCACCTAGCTGGGTAACCTTGGTCCTGGTAATTAACCTGTCTTTGCCTCAATGTCCCCATCTGGAACAGAGGCATCAAGTCACTGATGAAAGAGTCTGACTTCATGGAATGAGCACTAAAGTGTGAGTCCAGAGGCCTGGGTCCCCACTGCACTGCTAACAGGTCAAGCAATGTGGATAATGGTCATGGCTGGGTTGATTGGTGCTTGCTTGGTGCTGTATGTTTTACATATATTATCTCATTTGAATGTGACCGTCACCTTACTTGAGAGGTCTCCATTTTTCAGATGAGGAAGCACGTCCAGAGAAGTCTGGTGACTTCCCCAAGGTCACACAGTTGGCATATGTCAGAGAGGGTGGCTGTCAGATTCTCGAGCTCGTGCCCCTAACATTCTGGACACTTGGACTGACGCTCCCTCTCAGGCTTCCCTATCATTAAAAAGGGCAGGGAGTGGGCAGGTGACATTCTGCTCCATCACAGCTCGCAGCCCAGCTGCCTACTGTAGCAGGAAGGGTCCCTGCTGGAGCCAAGTGCCCTCACCCGGGCCTTTTAGCAACTTCCCTGACGCCCCCACCCTCAGGATGGTGAGAAGTCGTGCCTGGGAGCGCTTTTCCTGCTTTTGAGAGGGTGGGGCCTTGGGGAGGGGGGAGCTGGGTCCCTAGTGCCCAGGTCTGCCAGCTAAATTTAGGTGCTGGGGCATAGAAGGAACAAGGGTAATTAAGGGGTGTGGTGTCACTTTCCAGCCGCCTCTCACATCCCCTGAGAAGTCACACGCCATTTGAGAAGGAGCAAGGAGGCGTGGGTGATAGAGGGGAGGAGAGGGGAGGAATGATGGACAGTTGGAGCCGGAGGTGGGAGAAACCCACAGCTCCTCCACAAACCTGATGGCTGCCTGAATCACAGGGAGGCAATTTTCAGCCAATAACCCCGAGGGATTCCTTCAATTAACACCATTCATAAATGGAAAATCCTGCCCTGAAGGTAGTGACCCCTGCCACTGGAAATGCTCTGCCCAAAAGGAAATCAAGCAAGCACTGATCAGGGGCAAGACGCAACAGGATTTACACGTATGTTCTCAGCAAGCCCTTGCAACAACGCTATAAGGAAGGTGTTATCACTCCCATTTTACAGAAGAGGAAACTGAAGAGTTAGCCTCCCAGGTTGCACAGCTGAGGCTTGGGGGAGCCAGGATCTGAACCAGGCAGGCTGGCTCCAGAGCCATGTGCTTAGCTGCAGGGTACAGCTAACTCTGGCCCACTGCCACACGGTCAGCTATCACTCTGCAATCAGAGGATTATGAAGAAGGTTTAAAGAAGGCTTTGCTGAAGAGATGAGAAGTCATTGTAGGTGGCAGACACTGCCTCTGTAAAGACTAAAAGGTAAGTCTGCCAACCCCAAAGTGCACAGGCTGATGTCAAAGCAAGCATGAACCTTCTGTGCTGGAGCCTTCACAACTGTTGCTTTATCCCTGTAAGTATCAAAATCAGACCTGAAGCCTGAGCACCGTGGCTTATGCCTGTAATCCCAGCACTTTGGGAGGCTCAGGCGGGCGGATCACTTGAAGTCAGGAGTTTCAGACCAGCCAACATGGTAAAACCCCATATCTACTAAAAATACAAAAATTAAGGCCGGGCACAATGGCTCATGACTGTAATCCCAACACTTTGGGAGGCCTAGGTGGGTGAATCACTGAGGTCACGAGCTCAAGACCAGCCTGGTCAATATGGTGAAACCCCATCTCTACTAAAATTACAAAAATTAGCTGGGCATGGTGGTGTGTCCTGTATTTCCAGCTACTTGGGAGGCTGAGGCAGGAGAATCATTTGAATTCGGGAGGCGGAGGTTGCAGTGAGTCGAGATGGTGCCACTGCACTCTAGCCTGGGTGACAGAACAAGAATCCATCTCCAAAAACAAACAAACAAACAAAAAACAAAAATTATCAGGTCATGGTGGCAGGCATCTGTGATACTAGCTACTCAGGAGGCTGAGGTAGGAGAATCGCTTGAACCCTGGAGGTGGAGGTTGCAGTGAGCCGAGACTGTGCCACTGTACTCCAGCCTGGCTGACAGATACCCTGTCTCAAAACAAAAACAAAAACAAAAACAAAAAAACCCAGACCTGAATCATCCCATTAAAAATGGGCAAAGGATTTAAATAGGCATTTCTCCAAAGCAGATATACAAATGGCCCCTAAGCAAACGAGAGATGCTCAGCATCATTAGCCATGGCGGAAATGCAAATCAACACCACAATGAGATACCCCTTCCCACCACTAGGATGGGCTACAGTAAAAAAGAAAGACAGTAACAAGAGCTGGAAGGGATGTGAAGAAATTGGAACCCTTGTGCCTTGTGCTGGGAATGCGCAGCAGTGCAGTAGAAAACAATTTGGCAGTTCCTCAAAAAGTTAAACATGAATTACCATATGATCCAGCAATTCCACTCTTAGGTGTATACCTAAGATACCTGAAAACATAAGCCCACAAAAAAAAAATAGTGCTCCTATGAATCTGAATGTTCACAGGCTGGATCTCGGCTGACTGCAACCTCTGCCTCCTGGGTTCAAGCGATTCTCCTGCTTCAGCCTCGTGAGTAGCTGTGATTACAGGCGTGCACCACCACACCTGGCTAATGTTTATATTTTTAGTAGACTTGGGTTTCACCAGGTTGGTCAGGCTGGTCTCAAACTCCTGACCTCAGGTGATCTACCAGCCTTGGCCTCCCAAAGTGCTGGGATTACAGACATGAGCCACTGCCCCCCGGCAAAAGTGGAAACAGGTTAAATGTCCATCAACTGATGGATATACCCATACAGTGCAATATTATTTGGCAATAAAAAGAAATGAAGTACTGATACATGCTACAAGATGAGTGAACCTTAAAAGCCTTATTCTAAGTGAAAGAAGCCAGACACATTTGATATAATTCCATTGATATGAAATGTCCAGAATCAACAAATTCACAGGAACAGAAAGTAAATGAGTAATTTTCAGGGCTTGGGTGTGGGAGGGAATGGGGAGTGACTGCTATTGGGTGCAGGGTTTCTTTTGGGGGTGATGTAAATGTTCTGAAATAGATACTAGTGATGAATGCATGACTTTGTGAATATGTTAAAAACCACTGAAGCGTATACTTCGAAGGGGGAGCTAAGGTACCCATAAATCACATGTGAATTATATATACATATATATCAATAAAGCTGTTATTAAAAAAACCTCCCAGACTCGTCTCTAATATTTGCAAGAGCACAAATGAAGACCCACATACCATATGCTTAAATATTTCAAAATCAAGCGAACAAGCTGTTAAATAAAATATGTTCTCTTCTCTTACCTTGACAAATATACCTTCATAGTGGCACAATTGCAAAGCATGTGTAAAGCTCTGGTTTTTATATGCTCGAAAGCTGGTGTGTTTGGGTATTCTGTTGAAGGGCCGGCTGTGTTTAGACAAGTGATCAAATAAAGACATACATAATTCATAAATTCTTATAGTTTTAGTCCATAAAAATGTTCAGGCCTTTATTTCACCAAAATTGCTAATTTGTGTTTTAGTGCCAATACCCATCCAAAAAGACTAAAGAAATAAAATATAGTTTTTATCCAAAAGGTAAATTATAGTAAAGGTAAAATTTTAAATATTTTTTAAAGTATTTTTCTAAAATATCCAAAATTATTTATTGAAATTAAAAGGTAAAATACAAATTATAATGAGTGTAACTGTTTTTGGAGACAGAGTCTTGCTCTGTCACCCAGGCTGGAGTGCAATGATGTGATCTTGGCTCACTGCAACCTCCACCTCCCAGACTCAAGCAATTCTCACGCCTCAGCCTCCCAAGTAGCTGGGATTACAGGCACATGTCACCATGCCCAGATAATTTGTGTATTTTTTGCAAAGACAGGGTTTCACCATGTTAGCCAGGCTGGTCTTGAACTCCTGGCCTCAAGTTATTTGCCCGCCTTGGCCTCCCAAAGTGCTGGGATTACAAGTGTGAGCCACTGCACCTGGCCTAGTGTAGCATTTTAAATCATCATTTTAAATTAAATCTGGGGCTGGGCATGGTGGCTCACACCTATAATCCCAGTGCCTTGGGAGGCCAAAGTGGGAGGTTCGCTTGAGGTCAGGAGTTGCTTAGGCCACATAGCAAGACCTTATCGCCACAAAAAATTTAAAAATTAGGCAGACATGGTGTCACACACCTGTGACCCCAGCTACTCAGGAGGCTGAGGTGGGAGAATCACTTAAGCCCAAGGATTCAAGACTGCAGCGAGCCATGATCACACCATTACACTCTAGCCTGGGCTAGAGAGTGAGACCTTGTCTCTAGAAAAATAATCATTTAAAAAATATATTAAATCTGAATTTTCATTAATCTTTTGAAATTGTAATAACATTTTATTAACCATTTTTAGAAAAATGACATATTAGCAATTCCAGTGTTTAACACTATATTAGTTTATTAGTTCATTTTCACACTGCTAATAAAGACATACCCAAGACTGGGCAATTTACAAAAGAAAGAGGTTTATTGGACTTACAGTTCCACGTGGCTGGGGAGGCCTCACCATCATGGCAGAAGGTGAAAGACACGTCTCACATGGCAGCAGACAAGAGAAGAGAGAGAATGAGAGCCAAGTGAGATGGGTTTCCGCTTATGAAACCATCAGATCTCGTGAGACTTATTCATTACCATGAGAACAGTATGAGAGAAACCAACCCCATGATTCAATTATCTCCCACTGGGTCCCTCCCACAACACGTGGGAATTATGGGAGTACAGTTCAAGATGCAATTTGGGTAGGAACACAGCCAAACCACATCAAACACCCATCTAGTTGGTACTGTAAATAATCAGTATCACACTCCATGCATGCTATATCTAAATTTATATACACAAATATAAGAGTAAGTGAATGGTTTAAACATTGCAAAAGGTTCCTCAGCTGCTATAGGCATCATTGTGGATATTGCATTAATCCACAAGACTCTGGAACCAAGAATTGGTACATGAAGAAAAGTTAAGAAAATGGACAGTTGACTCTGCCGAGAAAAGGCTTTGGTTTGCAAGAATCTACTGCATTCGAGCTCTCCGAGAGCGAAGATTTAACACATTCATCTTAGGCTTTTCTCTCACATAAGCACTGCTGCCTCTCAAGTCTACCCTGTCCTCAGAAGCAGAATCTGTCTCTCAGCTCAGGAGTTGCACAACCCCCAAACCTTCACACATTCTAGACTTAGATCACCTTTCGTATCCAGGACCTAGAGCAAGAGAAGAAGAGAAGTGGTCCCCTGGGGGCATGGATGGTTCTAGTCACAGGAGTGGCTGTTTAGGGCTGTCCTGAGCTGAGGCCAAGGATGCCTCTTCCCCTGGTCTGCCAGTGGGACGGAAGGAAAGCACAGCCCTTCCATGGGTCACACATCCCAGTGGATGAATTCTCGCGAGAGTTGCCTCTTTGGTCCCCTGACCCTACTGTCTTCTCTCGCTTGTCCATCTGCCTACCAGCTGGCCCCAACACCCCCTTCCTCACTGGCTGTCCTGCCACCCCTGTCTGCCAAGCGTCAGCCTCAGCAGGGGGTAGAGAGGGGCTGCCCCCTCTCCCCAGCTAACAGGCAGATTATGTAGCCGTCTCTCCCGGAAGAGGGGGTGACAAGGGTAATTTCCCACCCACCAGCTAGCCACCCAGAGGAGCAGGCTCTGCCCTGGGAGGTTATGACAACAGGGGAAGGCTTCCTTCACCTCCCAATATGGCCAATGCCTCCCGCCTCCTGAAGCCTTCTGGGTGCTGGAGCTTTGAAGATGCCCAGCCCCCTAGTCCTCTAAAGGGGGCTTGTCAACCAAGCAGCCATATCACGTTGTAGGGCTGTAGAAAGAGTTCTGGCTGCAGCCTTAGGAAGCCTGGGTTCCAGTCCTGCTCCTGCTTTGCTGTGTGACCCTGGGCAAGTTATTTCCTCTCTCTATACTCTGGTGCCCTGATATATAAATGGGCCTGGCTGGGGGATGACCAGCTCCAAGCCCCCTCCGTTGTGTAACAGTGCAGACCCTGTTGGTTGCCCACCAAATTCCTTTTCCCTCCCTCCCTACTTGCTGACCAGATTCCAATTTTGTACAGGGTTGCCACATTCCCCCACCTCACATCTGTATAAACAGAAGTGGACAGTGTGGGATTTCAGGAGAGTTTTCACTTTTAAAAATAAGGGGCAGACTGGGCTCGTAGGGTTTCTTTTGGTCCTAACTTCAATTTTTCTTGCCAGGAATCTGAATGTGAAGTCTGGAGGTATGGCAGCCGTTGTGGCACCATAAGGTTGAAAGTCAACATGTAAAGCTCTGGGAGCAGGAAGCTGGCATCTTGAGGCCAGCACACTGGCTCTGGGCAGCTTGCCTCCAGGGTCCTTGTTACGTGACAAGAGAAAGCCCCGAAGTGTCTAAGTCACAGTTTTTGGGTTTCCTTCGTCTTAGGACCAAATGTGCTCCTCATAGACACAGATTAGAATCTGTCTGTGGGGTGTGTTGGGCGCAGTGGCTCACGCCTGTAATGCCAGCACTTTGGGAGGCCGAGGCAGGTGGATCACTTGAGGTCAGGAGTTCAAGACTACCAGCCTGGCCAACATGGGGAAACCTGGTCTTTACTAAAGTACAAAAATTAGCCGGGCATGGTGATGTGCCCCTGTAATGCCAGTTACTCTGAAGGCTGAGGGAGGAGAATCGCTTGAACCCAGGGGGCGGAGGTTACAGTGGTTGCAGTGAGCCAAGATCACGCCATTGCACTCCAGACTGGACAACAGAGTGAGACTCAGTCTCAAAAATTAAAAAAAAAAAAGGAATCTGTCTGTGGGGTGTCTCCATTGCTCTAGGCCACTTTAGGATGTTTGGACTTGTGCCTGGAAGGTATTACTATTATTATTATTATTATTATTTTGATATGGAGTCTTGCTCTGTCACCCAGGCTGGAGTGCAGTGGCGTGATCTTGGCTCACTGCAACCTCAGCCTCCTGAGTAGCTGGGACTATAGGCACATGTCATCATGCCCGGCTAATTTTTGTGTTTTTAGTAGAGAGGGGGTTTCACCGTGTTGGTCAGGCTGGTCTTGAACTCCTGACTTCAGGTGATCTGCCCACCTCAGCATCCCAAAGTGCTGGGATTACAGGTGTGAGCCACCGCGCCTGGCCATACACATTTGTTAACCTGTTTGCACGTCTCCATCTCCCCCTTGCTCTCTTGTAAGCCCCTGCAGGTCTAGAACAGTGTCACTCACTGTCTCAGTGTCCCAGGGCTGCCATCACAACATACCACAAACTGAGTGCCTTGAAACAACAAAGCTTGATTGTTTCCCAGTCCTGGAGGTCACACATCTGAAATCAGACATCAGCAGGGCCGTGCTCCCGCCGAAACCTGCAGGGGAGAACCCTCCTTTGCCTCTCCCTACGTTCTGGTAGTTGGCTCGGTTTTCCTCAGCTTGTGGATGCATCACTCTCATCTCGGCCTCTGTCACTACTTGGCATTCTCCTGGTGTGTCTGTGCCTTCACAGGGCTGTCTTCCCTCTTCTCAGAAGGACACCAGTCATATTGGATTAAGGGCCACCCTACTTCAGCAGAACCTCGCCTTAATTTGATTACATCTACAATGGCCCCATTTCCAAATAAGGTCATATTCTGTGGTGCTGGGAGTAAAGACTTCAACATTTCCTTTGGGGGGATATAATTGAACCCATGACTATCCGCAAGGCACCTGGCACAAGAGATATCTGCGGGATGAACAACAGATACAAATAAATAGATCCTTCTGATTGTGAGCCCCCAGGGGCAGGGCTCAGCACCCCATCTCTGTGTCCTGGGCCCTAGGTCAGAGCCTGCTCTCCTGAGGGCAGGTAGATGGATTTTCATTTAGATGTATCACAGGGAATCTGCCCAGCCAGCTGGCTGACCAAGCCACCCCTGATGAGAGTCCTCTGGCTGGGGCTGGGGGTGGCCCAGGGAGGGGTTTTCACCCCTCAAAGGTGCAGGCCTGACTGCTGAGTCCAGAAAAGCTGACAGTTTGCTCAGTACCGCTGCCACTCAGCACAGACGGGGCAATCCCCAGGGAGATGTCGCAGGCAGCCAGGGGCGACTGATGTCTTGGTGACACTGCTAATCCGGGGCCCAAGCTACCCTTGTGTGTGTGCGTCAGGCTGACTTGCGGTGGGAATAGAAGGGGTCCTGGCTGGGAGCGGGCAGTGGATGCTGAATCAGGGAAGAGTGGGCTCCTCCTGCATGGGTTGGGGAGGGGAGGGCAAGCTGGGTTCTGCAGGGCCTACCTTCCCGTCCCCCATGCCAAACAGCCCCTGGCCACCACCACCTGCCCCCTCTTCCCCTTCAAGGCTCCAGCATCCGGTGGCCAGCCTGGCTGCACTCAGGGAGCTGGAAGGGGAGGAAGGACCAAGGCAGCAGCCGTAAAGGTCAGCAGCCCTTGGGGCTGGGAACATCCATGATGCAAATGTGGAATTTACACTCCTGGAGTGCCTGTTGGCCAGCCTCCCGCCTGTTTCCATGCCAGCCAGCAGCCTGGGCAGCACGGGCACAGCAGATGTTGTGGGCCCTGGCTGGAGCGGACAGCTCTGGGACTCCCCACTGCTCTGCGCACCTCCCCAGTAGAGCCCTGATGTGCATGGGGGAGTGCCTCGGTGGGACTGGGCAGGTCTGCTCCGGCTGGATGAGCGCAGTCCATCCTACTGGTTGCGGGCTGTCTGCCTGGGATCTGCAACCTCAACTCTCCTGGTTCCACAGCTGAAAGGGCCAGACGTGGGGAGAACAACTAGACACTAACCGTGCCCTTTCCCATTCATCCTGCTCCACCCAGCTTCTTTCCAAGACCAGTTCCATTCAATGACTTTCCTGATCTTCACAGGGACTTGGGATGAGGGGAGGGAGAGGCAGGACCATGGAGCACTCCTCTGTGCCAGGGGTTTTCCTTTAAACCTTCTAACAGCCCTGCTCTTATCATCCTGCTATTCCAGGAGAGGAAACTGAGGTTCAGAGAGAAAGCCTCCTGACAACATCACACACCCAAAGAATGGCAGAGCCGGGACTTAAATCCATGTCTCTATCATTTCCTACAGCTCAAGGAGCTGACTCTAATCTTTACTCAGTATCCCCCGTTCCTGGCCACTGTTCTGCAAACTGCTTAGCCTAGCAGACCTGAAACGATGGCCTCCAAACCTCACACCAGGCACTGAGAGTCACACGCCTTTGCTGTGTGTGTGTGTGTGTGTGTGTCTCTGTGTGCGTGTGTCCCATGCAGTTGTGCAGTGTCGGGGGACTGTGTGGTGACTGAGTGGCCAGGAGTCCCAAGCCCAACACCTCCTCTGCCTCGCCTAGCCTCTCTGGACTTCAGGCTCCTCTGTCCTCTGTAAGTCTGGAATCCCCAAGGCAGAGTCAACCTCCCTCTCTCTTTGCTCTTCCAGCTCCTGCCTGCCCCCGGCAACCACAGCAGAGCCTGACACCCCGTGGGTGCTTGTTACATCTCGTCCTTGCCTGACTGACAAAGCTGCCATTCTGAGTCCCTGGGGATGCCGTCCATGGCTTC